TCATTTGGAGTGCATTTGCCTTATGAATTTCGGCCATGCATGTCCCAAATGAAACCCTAGATGCCTCCCCTCCTATAAATACCCAACACCCCACCACTTGTAAATACTTTGGAATATATGAATTTGAGTGAGCCTTTTTGTGCCTCAAATCCTATCCTTAGTCACTAGGTTAGTTTCGGCTAGCTTCCTTCATTCTCCACCCTTGGAGAGTGAAACCCTAGAGTGGCCTCCATCCACACTTGGAGTGAGCCAACCTTGAGCATTCATACACCATTCACCATACACTTCCGCCACCCTACAACCATTTCACGCCTAGCTTCCCTTGTCACCATAAACCTCCCTTTTGTCTACCCTTTGGTGAGCCTAGATCATGGGCAAGGTGTCTCCCTTCATCACACTATCATCAACCATGGAAGGAGGGACTCCATCACGATCACTATACAAACTAAAAACCCATAATCACTAAATAAACTCATGCCAATTGATCTAAGTGTTAAGTGTAGGCAAGATAAATGAATCTAAATATTTGAATACTTGTTTGACTTCAACCCGATTTTGATAGGAAAAACTCACTTTGATCAAGTTCAAGTTTATATTTAAGGATGTTACTCTTTGACCTGTCCTTGTACATATATATACTTGTCCCACTTAAAAAAATTACATTGCACATGAACATATATTTAACTAAAACATATGCCTATTAATTTTTATATATTTTGTGAATTAAAATATAATTAATAACTTAATATATAAATTATTTTTAAAAAAAATGTGGGATTCCTATGAGTTTACTTGAACATGATAAGACTCAATCAAAGTTGAGGGGAATGAGAATGAGTTTAAAAATATAGATTTATCCCTTTTAAACTTGGACTCATCTGACCTTTTACGAGATAAATACAAAGAGATCAAAATTCGCTCTCAGCTCACCTCATTGTCATGTCTATTTGGGTGTTTCCTTTTTAAGAAGTTGTATATTTTATAATAAATTTTAACAAATGAGATACAAATGTGCATGTTTGTAAAGGTGTGTCAAATACAAATTTAGATACAACACAATGAAAATAATACATGAAAAATATTTAAGCTAATTTTATCACGCGCTTTGTATGATAGAAAATGAACATAAAAAGTAAAATGATGTGAAATTTATCACCAAGGTGTCTCATGATTGGTAAATATCTTATGCATGTGGTCAAGAATTTGTCTATGATATATATATATATATATATATATATAAAAGATGTATTTGTTAGTGTTTCTGAGAGTAGAATGAGATGAAAATGAATCTTAGTTGGGAGAAAAACCTTCTCAACATAAAAATTGCGATCTCTCTCCTTCCCTTAAGTTTGTTACTCTTATCCCTCCTCCTTTTATAACTCAATAATTATTTTATTTTATTTACTATGAATTTTTCTTTTTCTTTTTATATTGTGAAATTAGGACTTTTTTATATTTTAAAAAAAGAAAATTAACATAAGACATTGCAGTATCCAATTTTTTAAAGTTTAGGATTTATGCCTTCATTAACTTATTTTTAAAAAAAGCAAATAAATAATTATTATAATTATAATTATTATTATACTAATATTATATATATTGCATATGTAATTAGGTAAATGTTTTTTGGTGGATTGTGGATTTCCTAATCGACGCCAATTTTTAGCTCCATTTCGAGGTGTAAGATATCATCTACAAGATTTTGCAGGGTAATGACCCTGAAAATGAGAAAGAATTGTTCAATCTTTGTCATGCGTCTTTAAGGAATGTGATCGAGAGAATATTTGATATTTTTAAATCAAGGTTCACAATTTTTAAGCCAGCGCCTCCATTTTTATTTAAGACAAAAGTAGAACTTGTGTTAGTATGTGCAACACTACATAACTTTCTACGTAAAGAATGTCGTTTCGATAAATTTCCAATTGAAGCGGTAGATGAATCTTCAATGTTACCAGTTAATGAAGATCATATTTTTGAGCCTATTATTCAAACCCAGGAGTAAGAGCGAAAAGACGCTAATGCTTGAGGGACTAGTATAACTATTGATATGTGGATGAATGCTATTTAAGAAGATAGAATATTATGGAGAATTATTATTATTATTATTATTATTTATCTAGACATTATTGTTTTTTTTATTATTTTTGTCTTTAACTCTTTTTAATTTGAATGTATGATTTTTTTTTTGAAATCTTATCAAATGTAAAAAAATTCACGAAAATCCTACAAAATCCATTAAAATCTTAATTTAAAAGTCTTGCAAAATCCATTAAAATTCTGATTTTAAGTCTTGTAGAATCCGGCAAAGTCTTTTAAAATCCGCAGGATTTTTTTTAACTAAAAAAGTCCTTTAAAATCCTAATTCAATACACCCCCCTACAATTAGAATTTAAAAGATTATGTATGAGGCATGAAAATAAAAGATTATGAATTCTTAAAATATAGAATTTATAGTAATTTTTTTTAATTTTTTCGTAAAAAATATTCCTGCAGAATTTTTTGCAAAAAAATTCGCAGAAAAGTTTCCTGCGAATTTTTTTTTCCAGGAAAACTTCCTGCAATTTTTTTTTGCAGGAAACTTTCCTGCGAATTTTTTTCGCAAAAAATTTCGCAGGAAAATTTCCTGCGAATTTTAAAATTCGCAAAAATATATTATCCACGAAAATATTATCTGCAAATAAAATTTCGCAGGAACAACGTTTCCTGCAAATTTTTATGAAAAATTCGCAGGAAAAATCTCATGTAATAAGAGAAATTCTAGTAGTGTCTGTCAAAGATTATGAATACACATAAAATAGATATAGACATTTCTTTCTGAACATAATTTATTCTATATATAAGATATAGAGTTCAAACTCTGAACATCTTAGTTGAGAGACACAAGTTATCATTACTTATGTTAACCAATATTAGTATTTGAACAAACTTCTTTATAAACAATTTAGGAGAGAAAAGTATAAAAGATAAATAAAATAAATTTCTTTATAAGGTAAAATTATCTTGTGCATAAATTAATGTGTAAAAGTTTTCTCTTATTAATTTCTACAATTTTTTTTAACTTATGCATAAATTAATTTTATTTTTCTTACTTGTCTCTCTTAGAAGTATTTCTGGATAAATTTACTCAAACTAGTATTACTTATCATAAATGCAATTTTCTCTATAGCGCAATGAATGAAAGCAAACATGCCCCTTCAACTGTGTATATATATGTTATGTAGAGTCCTAATTTTAGTCCGTAAGAGAGCAACTAATTCAAAGATGGCTAGATCAGCAAGAAGGCTTAAACCCCACCTTATTGCCATTGTCGCCATCCTTTTATTCTTAGGTAAAACTCAATTTCATGATCAAAAGAAAGTTTTTCTCTAATCTATGCTTCTTAAGAATATACGTGTTCTTCTAAATATATATTGATGAGGGTTACATAATGATATTGGAATAAATGTTCCATTAACCATGTCATATTCAGTAGAGATAACTAATCTCAAATTTAATATCAATAATGACTTTATCGATTAACCAACAGCTACGTTTTATGATATATACATAAGTTTGTGTTTGAGTGGTTAGATCAACAGCTACGTAAACCTATGAGAAGCTTTTGTGATGCATGGTTAAATTAAAATAAATATAAAAAAAACCTTCTATTAATCATATCTGTGAATGGAGATTATCCACATATAGGTAAACTATGCATTTTATTTCGAATAATATATAATGCAAACCTGAATTTCCAAGTAATATAAAAAAGTAAAATATTTTGAAACTATGCTGTACTAATTTCTTGGAGTACAAATTTTAAATTTTTTTTAAAAAAATAGAAGTTATTCTGGTACATATTCCTAATGAAATTATTACAATGTATAATTGTGATTTGAGCATTATTAATGGAACAGAATCAAGATGTGAGAAAGTGATGAGTGAGGGAGCTAAAATTGATAATGCTGCAATGAAGAATATGTCGATAATAGAAGCATACTGGGAAATGTTTTCAAATGACAAAAACTTGCATGTGTATTGCTGCTATGACAACCATATAGGAAGCTGCAATCCTGGTACAATAGACGACAAACATTGTAATGCCATTTGCCTGAGGCACTCCTGCCAAAAAGGAGGTCGTTGCAAAATTCTTGGCAGAAGGACTCCAAATCATTTTTGTCATTGCTATTGCTAAATTGTTTGTATCAACTATCAACATCAAATAATAATTCTTCCTCAGCTTGAATGTTTTGTTTAATTTTTATTTTTATTATCCAAGAGTATTTTCTGTCAAATATATGAACAAATTTTCATAAATATTTATCAGATATTTAATAAGTGGAACATTCTTTTCTAATTTAAAATTTTGCATTCACAAAAATTAAGATTCAAATCTTGATTACTTTATTAAGTATCACGACTCTCTCACCACTCGTACTAATTAAAGTTATAATGTTTTGTTTAAACGATATCATATTCTATTTTAACTTTTGGCAATATACACTACATCAAAATTAGGTTTTTGTGGCAATTAATTTATTCTTTAGCGACCATATAAATGGTCATTATTTTTTCTACCAGCATTTAAATAATGGCTGGTGTATCCAGTGTCGCTAATACTATTACCGGCATTTATATAAAATGCTGGTAAAGACCTACTAAATTGTCGGGAAAACTTATTTTTTTTAGTGGCAATTTTAGTAGCCATTTTAAAGGCTATTAAAAGTTATTTTTTCAATTGTCTCCTTTCTATCCATTTAGTGACTTTTATTCCTATAATTTTCTTTTCTAAATTCATAACTTATATACTCTTTTTTTTATCTCTAGTCGATGTGAGATTTGTAAGATGAGGGTTGTCTTCTATTTATATATTTTTTAATTTATTTTTTTAATTGTCTTATCTCTTAAGAGATGTGAGATTTATAAGGTGAAAGTTGCTCTCTAATTGTTTTATAGCACTATTAAACTTGGTAATAGTGGGTGATTTGATACTAATTTATTATAGTGAATTAAGAGTCTAACTCAACCCTATAAATTAACTTATAAGGTGATAGTTATTACTCACTTATATACTATTTAATTATCTTATCTCTAATCGATGTGAGACTAGTTTTTTTTAACAAATAATTGTCGCTAATAGTAAACTTTAGTGTAATATAAATACACTTTTAGTGACTATTATATATTAGCCATTAATATTTTTATTATATAATTAAATAGCGGCAATTAAATTATTGTCATTAAACAATTGTAGTTAAAAACAATTTTTGTTGTAGTGATAACAAAATAATCTTTTATTTATGTTTTTTGTACAATTGGCAAAGAAAAATAATGAGAAAAGAATAAATTATCATTAGTAGCGATGAATCTATATGAAACATAGTGGGAGCACTTACTCCCATTACCATTTCAAGCATACATACTTTTTTTTATCCAAAAAATTATATTTTTTTTAAAAATATATTCTAATAAAATAAATAAATAAATAAATATATATATATATATAGTTAATCACTTATACACTGTCAGTGTAAAGTTTTTTTTACACTGGCAACCAATTATATTTTTTAATTGTGTCATGTCACTGTTAAAAGTAAATATGTTTACAGTTTCTTGCAAAAACTAGCCACCCAGTTACCATATGCGTCTCGGAGAGCCCTTATAGTATCGTGGGCAGCTCTTTTCATTATTTAAGTGTTAAAATGAGTTGCTTAAATTTTATCAAAATTACTTGTAGAAGCTATGGTACTTAAGAAAAAGAGAAAAAAGAGCTGATATGACATAGTGAGTTGCTGCAATGCTCTTACTTTAATGCCTAGATAACAGGTTTCTCCAAAATTGGAAGAGTTATAAAAACATTAAATATACCATCTTAAATGCTATTTAAACTCAATAAATATGTCAATTGTAACATTTCTAAAACTATAAATGATTCTTAATTGAAGCATTTACGAGTTACTCTTAAATACTACTTCTATTAAACTTATATATATATAAACAATTTCACATATACTAATAATTAAATCGTTAAAATTTGATATAAAAAAATAAGTTATTAAGTGTAATAAGTTTAAATAAACTTTTTTTAAAAGTAAGTGAATGTCTTCTTATATATATATATATATTAATTAATGAAATTAAGTATTAAATAGTTTTTAAAATTTTAAAATAATTATAGATTTGATTTATGTTTTAAAAATTTTTAATTTAATAATTAAAAAATAAATTTAATGTAAAATATGAATTATTGAGTGAAGTAAGTTTAAATTTAGAATTTAAGATTTAAAGTAAGTAGTATGTGTATAAGTACAAAGGACAAATTTATTTTTATTAATTAAATTAATTATTTTTTTTAATCTTAATATATGAGATAATTACCACGGACTGAAATTTTCAAACATAAATTGAATTGGTTTGTCTTGTTTAACTCGCACAACTAAAATACGCTTTAAATTTTTAATTTGCCTTTCCAACGTGAAGAGAGGAAGTAAATTTAGTGCTCTACTACATGATTAATATATTATAATAATATCCATGCAGAAACATTAACTTGAAGATTATTTTTTATACTTCTTTCATTTTTTTTATATTTCATTTTTTTATAGTTATTTTGTCAGATTTTATTGTTTTTTTTTATTGTTACTTTTCTAAAATCAATGACTTATTAATTTTTTTTTTCATTTTTATCCTTGATAATTAATGTATGTTTATTGAACAATGTATCTATTTATTTTTTAATATACTTATTTCTTCTCCAACCACCTAAAGGGTATAACAGGAAAATATGTAATAAATACTTTGAAAAACTAAAATATCAATTATTGTCTTAATTCTTGTGCATAACCTTAAAGACAATGAAAAAAAAAAACAGAGGAAGTATCATTAATAGTTCCTTATATATTAATAAAAGTCTTTATTGATTCATGTAAAGGATAATTTTATTTGAGTTAATCACCTATACACTGTCAGTGTAAATTTTTTTACATTGGCAACCAATTATATCTTTTAATTATGTCATGTCACTATAAACACATTTACTTTTAACAGTGACATGACACAATTAAAAGATATAATTGGTTACCAGTGTAAAATTTTTATACTAACAGTGTATAGGTGATTAACTGATTTTATTTACATCTTTTAAACAACCTTTTGAGCTCATACATTCATTTTGAACTTTGTTGAAATTTGAAATTTTCTAAGATTTTGAACCTTGCTGGGACCATATGATTTGTTTTGGTTTATTGTTTACAACGGATTTAGGACCTAATGGTGGCCCAAGTGTAACATGTAGAATGCTTTTGATATCGTCAACAGTTTCTGATATACAAGTCTCTATTGATTCATGAAAAGGATAATTTATTTACATCCTTTCGAATAACTTTTTTGAGCTCAAACATGTATTTTGAACTTTGTTTCGTTGAACTAATTAAAGATGATAATATGATATATTTTTTTAGTTTTGATGATAATAAGATAATGATCTTAAAGAAATTAATATTTATTTAAGTTAGTATAGAATATATGCATTCAAAGATATAGAAAGAATGAAAATCAAACATGTTTTTATAACAAACGTAAGTTACAATCATGTAAAAATATACAAATGTAAAAATATACAACTATAAGGCTTAATAATTTAAAGTTTAATAATGACAAATCCTTAGTTTCAAGTAATGATTATGAAAGAGTAATAATAAAGGTATTAACAATTGGACTTAAGTATTTCAAATTTAAGCTATTATATGACATGCTATTATATGACATAAGTGTTTTAGCTCAAAAGAACACTTAGAAGCAAAGATAAACATCTTTGTTGGGTTTATGTTGTTGGTCAATCATGCTTATAAGTACACAAGATTGATGTATTGAGGAGTTTTAAGTTGGACATTTTCTCTAAGGGAAGATACTTTAAAGATTTTGATTAGTCACTTTGGTAGAGTCTCCCAAGCAGCAAGTTTCAATTCAAGCTGAACTTCTGATCGGAAGACTA